ACACACACACACACACACACACACACACACACACACACACACACACACACTCCAGTTTTCATCTGTATCCTCCCATTCTCTCCATACATGCATGCCCTTTACCATCACCTCCATCTAGAAGACAGAAGATCGGGTAGATTTGCAATCCACCACTGATCAGTCAGGAAAGCCATGAACGTCCCCAGATCTCTAAAACTTCGCTTATTCATCTGTGGAACAGAGTCAGTAAAGTCAACCTTACCCACTTGACCAGAATGGTGGGTGTCCCCAAAGACACAATGAATATGAAGACATTTGGGAAGAAATGATATCCCATCTGAATGAAAGGAGTTATTTTACTTAAAAAAAAATTCTTTGGGAGGGTTGCTAAACATGAAATATTTTTAGCAACAAGGTCCTACATGGGTTCAAAAGTGGTGATCATCACATTGTTCGTTGTAGCAAAGAAGCTGGATGTCCCCTGGGTGTCCATACATCGGTAGGGAAATGGGTAAAGTGTGGTCTATGATGGCAGAATACTAAACAGCAGACAGAAATGATGAGCTGTAATGACATAGCAACACGGAGAGACTTCAGAATCACAGCATTGAGTAAACCAAGTTAGAAGTCAAATAGGGTTTATCAAACAATCTCATGATGTAAATTTAAAACAAACACACAGAAGAGAACACTATTCTATTTCAGGGATGCACTCTCCATATATGTATTAACATATGTAAGGTAGATTAGGAGGATGTGTATTTAAGATATTAGCATGGACAGCTCGAGCGGAAGGAGGCATACAACTGGAGATGCAAGGTAGTGCAGAAAATACTCAAAAAGAAAACAAAAATGCTTTTCAAAAAGTACAGCTGATAGTATGTCATAACTGAAGAATAAGAATTACCAAATCCCTGTACTTGACACATAAATACTAATTTTTTTTAGGGAGGAAAGAAAGTGCTTGTATTCTTTTGCTAGGGCTGCCATGACAAAGTATCACTAACTGAGTGGTTGAAAGAACAGAAATTTGTTGTCTCACAGTTCTGGAGGCTAGAAGTCTAAAATCAAAGTGTAGGCGGGTTGGTTCCTTCTGAGCGCTATGCGGGAAGGCTCTGCTGAGGCCTCTCTCTTGGGCTGGTAGGCAGCCATCTTCATGTTCATATGCTGTCCCCTCGATGTGCCTGTCGTTCTCCAAGTTTCCTCTTCCTATAAGGACCAGTCATGTTGGATTAGGGCCCATTCTAATGACCTCATGTTAACTTAATTCTATAAAGACCCCATCTCTCAATAGGGTCACATGCTGAGGTACTACTGCTGATTAGGACCTCAACATATGAATTTCACAGGGGACACAATTCAGCCATTAATGGTGCTATATCTCAAACAATTTAGACAGAAGTCAATATGATGGTCTAAAATTTATTTCAGATGTCTCAGACTGTGGTTCTGGAGATGGTAAAACACTGAAGTTGAAGACTGAGTGAAGAGTTAGAATAAATATTTCTTAAAATGTAAGTATAAAATAACAATATTTTTAAATACATTATTTTATGAATTCATGATTTTTATGGATGTCTAACTAAACTAATAAAATACACATAGATATTTAACTATTTCTAAATAATTCTAAAAGTTTATAAATTTAAGATAGCTATAAAATTTTTAACCTCCTGGCCAGGATATTAAGGTATTCCCCTAGCCAGTTTGTTTTGTATTCAAGTATGTAGTGTGGGCGAGCTAGAAACGTATGTGTTTACACCCATCTGGTTTGCCTATTCAAGTATCTTCTCTCTGAAGGACCCCCTCACTACTCATTAAGAATTAATCACTCTTCATCTTGATAATAATTTGCTCATTTATGCTATTGCTGTATGCAGCAGTCATTTCTAAAAACTATGTTTGTCTTCAGCATGAGGTTGTGACTTTCTTTGGGGAAGGAACTGCTTCATTCACTCTTGCAGCACAACACCTGGTCCATTTTTTCTAACAATTAATAAACACTGTGGAACTGAACTCAGCTATGATTGCCTTTGTTTCAAGTTTTTATTTTCCTTTTATTTTTTAAAAATTACATAGGTAACACATGTTTCTTATAGAAAATTTAAGCAAGTGGATTTTTTAGGTTGTCTGGAAGGATTCTTTCTAAGAAAATGCACCATATAATACATGTTTGTCCCTCTGAACAGTATAATAAATAAGTATAATAAACACAAGATTTACAAACTGTTTCCCTCACTGTCAAGTTAATGGCTATACCATGTCATTGAATGGATGTCATAATTGATTTTACTTAATTGCCCAACACCATCCCAATGCTCATTGTCAAATTTTTGGTGTTGGAGACAAACGTACAAATAGAACCAATAAGAGAAGATTTTAATAGACCTCTCTTAATGGTCAAGTATAAAATAAGTAGTAGTATAAAAGACTTGAACAGCATAAGCCTAAGGGAGATCAGGTCTTGAGGGTAAGCACTAAAAGGTATACCCCAATAAGAAAGAATCTTTCTTTCCTCTCAAGCACACAAAGACTTATTCATGAAAATTGAAGATACACTATTGCAGAAGTAACATATCGGGTTCCATAAAATCAGAAGAATACAAATGATATTCTCAGCTCTTCTTGCAGTAAAATAAGAAATAAAAATAAAATAAAAAATAAGTCCTACTCTCTGAAATTTAAAAACAACTCATTTGACAATCTCAGGTGAAAGGTGAAATATCAACCAAAATTGCAGAATTCTAAAACACATTACAGAAAATGCTACATATCAGAATGTATGGGGTATACAATTAAATTGGATCAGAGGACAATTCATGGTATTAAATATTTATAACAATAAACAGGATGCCATGAAGCCAAATTCCCACTTCAAAAAAGTAGAAAAAAAACGAAGCAAAAAGAAAGCAGAAGAATAGAAATAATAAAGATTAAGGCATAATAAGTGATATTTAAACCTGATAAACATTTAAATTAATAAGTAAATCAAACTATTGTTTCCTTTTTAAAAATCAACAGATAAACAAACCATTAGGTAATATAACCAGGATGAAAAGGCCGGGGGTAGTGGGATGAGGGCAGAGGATACAAATATAATACATAAAATGAGAAACGCCCAGTGGAAAATCATGAGTTAGTCCTAGGCATGCGAACTTTGCAATACTTGGGGGACATCCAGGTGGAGATGCCCAGTAAACATATGGAGGTAAAGCTCAGGACATAGGTCCAGTCTGGAAAAGGGGACTCAGCATCCCACATGAGTGAGTGGGTGAGAGCCCCCACGCGGGTAGACTATTGGCTGGCTGTATTTCCTGTTTGCTCTTAGATCCCCCCTCGGCCCCTTACCTGCTGGCTATAGTTCAATTCCCAGGTGCCATTTGCTGCTGGCTTCTGCCTGGCTTCACCCAGTGCGAGACCCTGGAGGAGACAGGACAGAGAAGGGAAAAGTTGGGGGACTCGCTGCCTCTCCCTCTGTCTATAGTCAACAGTAGTTACGCAGCTCCCTCTGTGGCCCCAGCTTCCATGAGCAGCCCTGGCTCTGGGACTTCGGAATTGCCAATGCTCCCATCATTCCTCCAGCCAAAGGAGTAATGGAGGTGATCTGTTACTGCTACTCTCTGGGTTGCCTCCACTGCCCCCACCCTCACTTGACTTTGCAGCTCTCCCTATCACCCCACCACACACTTTTTTTTTTTCTTAGCTGAACCATCCTGCCACCTGTTGGCAGCTCAGCTCGGGCTGGGAATCGAACTGGCGACCCTGTTGCTCAGAGCTCGCACTCTTGAGCAAGCTCTTAACCAGCTGAGCCACTCGGCCGGCCCCTCTCCCAACCCCTTTATAACCAGTTGCCCTTATTAACTCCTTCTGTTGGGCTATTGGCATTGGTTCTATTTTCTGAGTGGAGCTTGAGTGTCAGCTTCTCACTGCTGAGCAAGAAGGGAAGAATTAAGAATGCAAATTGGGGAGCCCCGAGATTCAAGGGTTAGAGAGAAGAAAAGGAGTTTTCAGAGGAAATAGAAAAAGAGGCATCACCCAGGCAGGAAGGAAAAAAAGAAACTGCAGTCGTTTCTGTGATTCTTCTTCTTTCCTCAATAACAAATGTATATTTTAATTAGTGTCTCCAAGAAATACAATGTTGAGAGCCAAAGGAGTGTGGGGCAGGGAGAAATGCCGGGATGCCTCTCAAACTTCTATACAGGAATGTTTGCGTCTGCCAGCACCCAGGCCACTAGCTGTCTCTTGGAACAGGGACCCTCAGCCAGACATAATATTTAACTCAGTGGCTGGGCCGGGCTGTGTTTATAATCTTAATAACACACCAGCTTAACCAAGTCAGCCTTACTACCTTAGCTATCATTTAATTGCCTGTGGTTTATATCTTGCATATTCAGTGGTGATGTGATTGAAAACTTAACGATTGAGCCACTTAAGCAAGAAAAAAAGAAGACAAATATTAACACACATTGCATGAGAAACCCCGATTAAATAAAATAATTTTACATTTCATCAGGCTTCCCCCCCCCCCCAGACTACTGAATAAAGCTTGGGCATACATGCCAGGGGAAATTCTCTCCATTCTGAGCTTAACCGTGCGTTTTTTCTCCACCGATGGATTTGCATAGCAGTGCTTATAAAATCGTCTAACGAAGTGTGTCTCATTAACCTGTATTTATCTGTGTGGAGTATCTGTTGATCCCTGATGTTTCTGGAATTGATGATCTCCTTCCAGGTGAGTCTCAAAAAGCTCTGGGCCAAGGAGACTTTAATGGATTTGTTGACATTTCCAAAGGATTTTAAACTCCAATCCCTCTTCCCTGACCACTAGTCCCATCTAATTTGACTCGTTCCCTTGGGAGTTTCAAATTGCTTTATCTTTGCCCCCAAGCAGAAACTCTGACCTAACAGGGAACTTTGACCTCCCCAGAGCTGCCCCAGAGCTTCTGCAGCCCATCAAAGTGGGGTGGTGGTCTCAATGACAGATGACACTGCAGTCAGGAAGTGCGTAAAAATTAATTGTGCTCTCAGGAACTGTGCAATGTGGTCACCGAAGGATGCGGAGCAGGCCCCATAAAAGGCAGAGCCCCTGGGACACCCAGTGGCTGTGTTCGTAGCTGCCCACACTTCCTGGGCTGTACCCAGGGCTGGCGTGCTGACTTAGCAGGCGGACACTCCATGCGGCAGCGCCTCACTGTGTTTTAGTGCCCCCAGACCCTGGCCCACAGTAAGTGCTCATTACTCATCGAATGACTGAATTAATGAACCTGGAGTGGCACTAATTTAATATATTTAGAATCACAACACTAAGTATAGGCTACAAACTTCCAAATATGAAAAGAGTTAAGAATCATGTATGTCCCTGCGTTTTCTTTGGAGGTAAACACAGCATCATAGCCAGCCTCTGGAATCACACAATCATTCCACATGTATAAAGCATGACCGAGTGGGTGACTTATCTTCTTGAAGGCTTTATTTGCTCATCTATGAAGTGGGGATAATCATGGCCGGTACATTATAGGGTTGTTGCAAGAGTGAGATGATATAATACATGCTGTATATTAAGAGGAGTGGCCAGCCCTCGATGTGTAAGTTACGGTGCTTCCCTGGACTTGCTAAGTTGAGGAGATAACACTTGCTCTTCTTTAAAAATTTTTTCAAAAACAGAAGCTTAAAAAGCAAAAGAATGTTCCAAAGCACCCTTATTTAATTCAGAAATTAAAAGTATGCAGAATTCGCCCACTGCTGATGCTGCCAAAGAGGAAAAAATTGCGTCCATGAGCAAATGACCCAGAATCATAATATTTTCACAATTGAAAAGAAGGACTATAACCTACCTCCTATGATTGCTTTTAAGATTAAGTAAGACAGAACACATTTGGTACAATTCCTGCCACATACTAAGTACTCAATACATCTTAGTTCTTTTCGCTTCCTTTAGTCAAACTCCATATTCTTAATAATCACTCTATAAATATGTGGAGAATGAAAACAGAATTTACCATTCAAGACATTTATCTTTAACCTGGATACAATCTAATTACTCACCATCCATTTTTCTTCCATAGACTCTGATTTGGCACATACTTTTTGAGTAGTTGTTACATTCCAAGTACTGTGCTAGACAATTTTACATGTATCCTGCAACAAAACTGTAATAGACTTTTGATTACACAGTTAGAAAGGTCTAGAGGGTTCTTTCTGTGAATTGTTCATCACTGGCCCATTTGCAGTTAAGAACTCAGGGATGCCTTTTGGATGGTGATGATCATCTCAGAGAATCTCAGAGATGGAAGAGAGAAGAAGACTGGAAGGACGGGGAGCTGCCCTCCCTTTTTATCATGATCCACGGGGGTGTAAATAAATGAGCCCCTTTTCATTCAAAAGCCCTTGGTTAAGCACCTGGCATGTATTATGTGCCTGGCAATGGCCGGGCACTGGGCATATCGCGCTAACCAAGAATCATAAGGTTCTTGCTCTCACAGAGCTTAATTTGGGGGCAAGAGACATCAAAAATGCATAAAGAATTAAACACGATAATCTCGATAGTGATAAGTGTCATCAAGAAAGTAAAACAGGGGCCGGCCGAGTGGCACGCTGGTTAAGAACTGGCTTGGGACGCCAGAGGGCCCCGGTTCGGATCCCACATATGAGGGCCAGTGACACTGCCCTCTACAGCTAAGATGCTGAACAACAGCTCAACCTGGAGCTGGGCTGCCATGAGTTGCTGTCAACGGCGTAGGCTGCAGCCCCTGTGGCAGTGGGTTGCCATGGGCTACCGTGTGTAGCCAGCAGCCAGCGTGAGCGGCCAGCAGCCGCAGTGAGCAGCTGTCCAGAAGCCGGCGACTGATCTGCCTCGGCCAGGAAGAGTGCAATGATGGTGCCAACTTGGGCCAGTGAAGCAACGTCCTCCACAACTAGACTGAAGAACAAAAGGATAGCAACTTGTCTGCTCCCCTCCCCCCAATTCCCCAAGAAAATCTAAAAAAAAAAAAAAGAAAGTAAAACAGGATGATATGATGAAGGGTGCCTGAAGATGGGGAACTACTGCAGGCAGTTCACAGGAAGCCTCTTAGAGGGTGCCATCTGGGCAGAGACCGAGGAGGAGCCAGCAACTTGATTCAGGCAGAAGAGAAGTTAGAATAAGGACCCTAAGGAAGGGGAGAAACTAGCAGGGCATAAGAGCATATCAAGGGCCAAAATGGCCTGCCGAATGAGAAAGCTTCATTTGCAACATGTCTGGATTTGTGACATGCGAACTCAAGAAGTGTATGTGGTCATGGAAGTCAGGCTGTATCCATCACTACCCGTCAAAGACAATCTTTCACGCAGTAACCACCGGAGGGGCCTCAAGGCTCCTGGCAGGATGTGTCCCATCACTTCCTTTGCCTCCTCTCCTGCTCCCCTTGCTCTCCTTCTGTCTCCACTCTCGCCACACTGTCCTCCTTGCTGTCCCTTTAGCATGTCAGACAGACACCCACCTCAGGGTCTTTGCACTTGCTTTTCCTGATAGCTGGAAATCCCTTCTCTGAGAGACCCACCCATATGCCTCCCTCTTTTGTCTCCTTTAGGTCTCTACCCAAAGGTCATGTTCTCCCTATTAGCTGGCCTACGGGTCCATGGGGCACTAGTCATGGGTCTAAACGTCTCTAACACACTATTGGTGCCTATGAAACCCTATGGACAACCAAAATTCCAGGGTCTTTTTTCACGTGAAAGATTTACCGAGTCGGTTAGCCATCATTCTTTCACTCTGATGTGGGGGCTGGAAACAAAGTTGATGCATCTGCCCATCATCTGGACTCCAGGCCTGCCCGTTGCTGCTCTCACATCTTCATGCTTTATTTCCGCATCCTACACTTCCCTCCAAGCAGAGCACTGGCCATAAACATGATGAGATCAAGTTCACCACGCGTGTGGAACAAGATAGACCAACGGCAGGATCCTTGGGAGCCGTTGCCAAGAGCTAATACACACTCTTTGGAGACAGACTTTTCAATGGCTGATGAAATCGGCAACTTTAATACCGTTTACTTGCCAAAGAGTCCCAAATATACATTTCAAATCTTGGCTTTTTCTGGAGATGCCACATTTGTTCATCAAGCTGTTTATGCGGTATTTTCAACTGGATATTAGGGAATCTCACACTGAACATGTCCGCAAAACTCCCCATCTTTTCCAGCTCAAGAAAAGATGGTCCTGCCATTTTTCTCAAGCCAGAAAAGTTAGAAGTCACACTCCCTTTTTCTAATCCAATTCAACCCATGCATAAGTTCTGGGGAATTCTGCCCCTAAAACACATCACAAATTCATCTCCTCTGCCACCGCTCTAGTCCAGCATGGCAGCTTCTTTCACTTGGATTGGCACCCTCCCAGGCTCTCTACCTGTTGGCCAACTCCAAGCCATTCCCAGCACAGCTACC